AGTCCTACTTCCAGGATTTTATTCTGATATATATTTATTCGTGAGGATCTTTTATTGTCACCCTATCACATTCCTGTAGGGAAAAAAAGCAATTTGAAATTAAAAAAAAAAAATTGTCCGACCATGAGGCTTATTTAAGTGATCGCTTTGTTTTGGATTAAGTTGCTGCAATAATTAAAGTCTGATTATGACACATCATTTGGTTGAAAACTGCTGTACATTCACAGGCGGGTCAGTTGTAGGAAGAGAGAACCTGAGTGTTTTGAGGCTTCGGAACCTGGTTTGCTGAAGATTCTCCACGGCCTCTCCGCACCCTGGAGAACTTGCTCTGCTCCTAGGGGAGCCTGCGGGAGAAGGAGGGGATGGACTGAGCCAGGGCAGGGCTGTGTCTGTGGGCCTCACGGAGGTAGTACGGCAGAGACTGTGGGTGGGTGGGTGCCCCCCTGCACCCGGGGTGTGCACTGTGTCTGTGGGCCCCACGGAGTTAGGGCGGCAGAGACGGTGGGTGGGTGCCCCCCTGTGCCTGGGGTGTGCACTGTGTCTGTGGGCCCGACGGAGGTGGTGTGGCAGAGACAGTGGGTGGGTGGGTGCCCCCTGTGCCTGGGGTGTGCTCTGTGTCTGTGGTTCTGGGCCTGGCCTCTCCACCCTTCAGGATTTCCTGCCACCCCAAACCCAATTTAGTCTTGTTTGGCATTTTTTTAAAAACCAGAATTTATTGAAAATTGTGTTTTAAAAAGTCATTCCAGTGATAAAATGAATGTTGCAGTCTTTGTTAATAAATCCAATATGCTCGTAAAAGTTTGAACATGAAGGTGGTGTCATGGCTGCAGTCTCACTATCCCATGGCGAGAACCAAGGGATTTGGACCCTGTGTCCGGCGTTGATCCCCATCGTAAAGATCCTCAGAGCGAGGCCTGCTCACTGGCACGTTCACCATTGTTAGGGCAAAGAAAGCGGAAGCCACCGGAAGGGAACATTTTTTCCTACATGGAAATGCTTGTTTCTGTGGCCTGGTTGGCAGCTCCATTTCCCTGATTGAGTTGTGCCCACTCCAGGAGGCGCCAGCATGGGGCCCCTTGTTTTTCTCTGTGTGTGTTTCCACACCTCCCCTCCTGGTACCCACTCTAGGCTCTAGGTGCTGGGAGAGAGGTGGTGCCTGTCAGTCTGCACTGGAGGTGGTTCTTAGCAATTATGTGAAGAAGTGCTACCAAGTGTCCCACTGCGAGACTCACACTGGTGCAGAGCCCCCCCCACCCCCTGCCCCCCCACCAGGAGGGAGGGGCCTCAGGGAGGGGGTCTCCCCGCCCCCCAGGAGGGCGGAGCCTCAGGGAAGGGGTCTCCCCGCCCCCTAGGAGGGAAGAGCCTGGGGGATGGGCCCCCCAGGAGGGAAGAGCCTGGGGAGGAGAACCCCCCCGCCCCCCCGGGAGGGAAGAGCCTCCAGGATGGGAACCCCTCGCCCCTCCCAGGAGGGAAGAGCCTCAGTGAAGGGGCTCCCCGCCCCCCAGGAGGGAAGAGCCTCAGGGAAGGGCTGCCCTCCCAGAGCCAGGCCATGTGAAGGTGGGCCAGCCGCTGGCCGCGCTGCCTCCATGGCTAGGTCTTCACTTTCCTTGTGTTTCGTTAGGTAAGAGTCCCAGCAAAATCAAAATCTAGAATCCTCACCTCGGTTAAGCCGTTCTTAGTCTTACTGTTGAGATTTTTGAAAATAACCTTTTAAATTAAAGAATAGGTTGTGTACCTCGGCAAGAATTAGCCTCGCATGGCTATTTCCTCTTCAGGGTTTGTTTTTGTACCTTCATTGATATGTACTTTGAAAGTGCATTTTGTGTTTGTAAGCACCAGCTGAGGGGGATGGCCACATGAACCAAGCTGCCTGCACGGTGGTTTGTAGGTGACCTAAAAGGGGACTGACTCCTGAGTTCTAACAGTGACTTCATTGCAGTCAAACCTGGTGTACTGGAGAAAGACCAAGACACTTTGTAAAGCAGACGTGTGGCATTCGTGTGGCTTTCAAACAGTGTTCCATGTGCGAGGTGCATTCATTAGTGGACATGGCAGGAGGAGCTGTCATGTCTGAACTGTGCTTTGGAGGGAGGAGAGCATTCATCCCTCAGGAAAAAGTAAGGGCATCCCGGGGTGGAGGTACATTCCAAGAGGAAATCACTGAATGTGGCAAACAGGGTTGCTGAGCTGGACAGGGCTCCGTGGGGAGAAGCAACAAAAAACTCCAGAGAGCTGTGGTCACTGGAACATGAATCTAGGGTAGGTTCCCCAGTAGGGAGCCCAGGTGGTTCTGTGTCTGTTCTGGACATCAGTGGGGTGTCTGGCAGCTTAGTGTGGGCTCAGTGAGAAGCTTTGCAAGTACCACATGGCAGCAAGATGCACTCGAGAGACAGAAAGGGAGGAGGGAGGGAAACAGACACAGACATAGTACGCCTGTGGGACAGAGAGAGGCGGAGACGGTGAGGTCATGAGAGCCAACCCCAAGAGCACGTGCTCCCCTGTGCCTTCCAGCTCGCCCTGGCACTCCCCTCTCATCTCCCATCCAAGCCAGGTGCTACCCTGTTCTCCGTGTGCTCTTACCTGGAACTCTCGCTCTGCCTCCCTGCCTCACCTGTAATCTCTACAAGCACCTCCTGAATCCCTCAGAGCCGTCTCTGCAGCCACATGTTCACCCATGCCACGGACCCACCGAGTACTTCGAGTTACCATTACTTATGACCTTGTTCACTTCTCCCTGACCTTGACTCTAGTTGATGCAGGTGCCTTGTTGCGTGTGTGTTTGTGTGTGTGGTAAAACATATCACATCAAACATAACCATTTTTAAGTGAACAGCTCAGTGCATCAGGCACATTCACATCGCTGCAGAGCCATCACCACCCTCCATCTCTGGAACCTCTTCATCTTCCCAAACTGAAGCTCTGTCTCCTTTCAACACTGACTTCCCATCCCTCTCTCCCAGCCCCTGGCAATGCCATTCTACTTTCTGTGTCCGTCAGTCTGACGACTCTAGGGACCTCGTGTAAGTGGGATCGTACAACGTTTGTCCTTTTGTGGCTGACTTATTTCATTCGGCACAGTGTCGCCGAGGCTCATCCACGCTGCAGCGCGGGCCCCAGCTTCGCCGCTTCTCAGGCTGAGTCACACGTCACTGCGTTTTGCACACGACACTTCTGATCCATTCGCCCGACAACCGGCCCTTGGGTGGCTCCCCCTTTTGGCTGCTGCGGTTGATGCTGCTGTCAACGTGGGTGTACAAACATCTCTTCAAGACCCTGCTTTCAGTGCTTCTGGGGCACATGCCCAGTAGTGGAATTGCTGGATCACATGGTAGTTCCATACTTAATTTTTTGAGTTTTTCGCAGCAGTCGCACCATTCTACATTCCTACCAGCAGTGCACAAGGGTTCCCATTTCTCCACTTCTCACAACACTGACTCTTTTCTGTGATTTCCTGGTAGCCATCCGTGTTACTCACCGAGGTCTGGATACGTATTTCCCTAATGAGGTTAAGCATTCTTTTTTCCTAGTGTGTGAATGGTACTCACCTGGTTTGGATATGCATTTCCCTAATCAGGTTAAGCATCTTTTCATGTGTTCATCAGCCATTTGTATGTCTTCCTTGAAGAAATGTTTATTCATGTCCTTTGCCCATTTTTTAATCTCGTTGTTTTTTATTGTTGTAAGACTTTTTCATATATTCTCGATAATAATTGCTGATGGATTTGCAGATGTTTTCCCCCATTCCATAGCATGCTTTTTTCACTGTTAACTGTGTCCTTTGATGCACAAAAATTTTAAGTTTTAGAAATTTTTCTTTGTAGAGACAGGGTCTTGCTATGTTGCCCAGACTTATCTTGAATTCCTGACCTCAAGTGATCCTTCCCCCTTGGCCTCCCAAAGTGCTGGAAGTACAGGTGTGAGCCACCGCACCTGGCCCAGAAATTTTAACTTTGATTAAGTCCAGTTTGTCTGTTTTTTCCTTTGTTGCCTGTACTTTTGTTTTCATGTCTAAGAAATAATTGCCAGATCCAAACGTTGGGAAGCTTTCCACCTGTTTTCTGTAAGAGTTTTATGGTTTTAGGTTTTGCAGTTAGGTCTGTGGTCTGTCTTGGGTTAATTTTTATATATAGTTTAGAAAAGGGTCCAGCTCCGTTCTTTTTCATGTGACATTCAGTTCTCCCAGTGCCATCTCCTGAAGAATGCCCTATCTTTTAACACTTTTTACTGTGTATTGCACCGTGTGCACAGTAAAGTGTGGTTCAGTTGAATTAGATTTAAAGTTACAGTATCACAGGTCTGTAGGTGACGAGGGGAGCAGACAGAGAGTGGAGGTTCAGTTGTGTCTGTGCCTTCTGCAATGAAGGAAGTACTGGGAGTTTGCTGTCGGTATCACAGCCCTGCCCTGCAGGCTGAGACGAGGCAGATTTAGGAGATCAGTGAGACTGAGTAAAATACCGTTTTAACACAACATAGTTACCTACTGTGGGATAAATACCATTGGGGATGTTGCAAACATAATGTTTAGCCACGATAAACTGGGAAAGCAGTTTTTGAGAAGTTTTGATGCTGCCCATTTTGGGTATTTTTTAGCTTAGTAAATGTATTACCTAAGTCAGGGGTTGGAACATTTTTTTCTGCAGGCAGAGAACCAGCTAGAAAATGTTTCAGGTTTTTTGGACCACATGTGGTCACTGCTCCTCCTCCCTCCTCGTTCCTCCTTCTGACCTTTAGCCCTGTAAGTGCTGTTCTTAGCTTGGGCCGTGGTTTGTAGATGCTGACCTAACCCATCTGAGGGGCAATTAGGCACACATGTCTTAGTGGCAGGTGCTTTTGTGAGGACAGCGTGCTGTTTCCGCTTGCAGACTTTCTCCTCTCTCCATTGTATCTCATCTTTCAGTGGTGGGGAATTAATGGGGAGAAGAACTGTGATTTTGGTTGCATGTTATTTCAATGACCATCTGCTTATGCAGTTATAGTTATTCACTGTCTTTGTTTTGAAGCATGCAGCCAGTAAAGATCCCAGAGAAGTTCGAGAAGCTAGAGATCATAAGGAACCAAAAGAGGAGATCAACAAAAACATTTCTGACTTTGGACGACAGCAGCTTTTACCCCCCTTCCCATCCCTTCATCAGTCGCTACCTCAGAACCAATGCTACATGGCCACCACAAAATCACAGACAGGTAAAAGGGAGACCCAGCAACTGTCTTTGCTCTTTGAATGTATGTTTCGAGCCTGCCCCTTGCCAGGTGAGAGTTCTGTTTGACTGTAAGTGCCTGTGCTGCTCTTGATGAATGACTGTTGACGTCAGCCGGCCCTCCCGGGCTCGCCTGTATGCCTGAGGAGGCACACCTGATGTCTGCTCTAAAGCCTTGGCTCAGGCCGGCATTGATTTCCTAGCTTGTTAACATTCTCAAGATGAAGACTGTTTTCTTTACTAGTGTCTTACTCACTTGGTCTCTGTGGGGAGAAGACCCTGGAGTTGGAAGCTTTCCTGGTTTGTAGATGAAGTGCCTTTGGGAATGCTGGGGTGTGCTGGGGAAGCCCCGGCCCAGGGTGAGGACCACCGCCCCCTCCAGCTGCTCTGCCACAGCCACCTCGCTCTGGGCATGCTCCTCACTCTCCTGGGCTGGCTGCTTCTGTGGCCAGTTCTGCGAGTGGATGAACGTTTGATTCCTCACTGGGGACCTTTTGTGGGAGGTGCTGGGAGGGCACCGGGACGTCAGAGTGACCGACGCGTCAGGGTTCCCTGGGCTTTCAAACCTCCTCAGCTTCTGGGATGGAATACATGCGTTTGGCGCCGTCCTGGAGAGATGCAAGGCCCTTCTTGCTGGCCCTCGTGAGTGCTGCTGCTGCCGGCAAGGCTTCACTTGAGGATGGTCACCTGGCCACAGGTGTCTGTCTTTTTCTGGACTTTAAAAATACTTTTTATTGGCTGGGCGCAGTGGCTCACGCCTGTAATCCCAGCACTTTGGGAGGCTGAGGCGGGTGGATCATGAGGTCAGGAGTTCGAGACCTTCCTGGCTAACACGGTGAAACCCCGTCTCTACTAAAAATACAAAAAATTAACCGGGCGTGGTGGCGGCGCCTGTAGTTCCAGCTTCTTGGGAGGCTGAGGCAGGAGAATGGCGTGAACCCGGGAGGTGGAGCTCGCAGTGAGCCGAGATCGCACCACTGCACTCTAGCCTGGGCAACAGAGCGAGACTCTGTCTCAAAAAAAAAAAAATTTCTTTTATTTAAGTATTTTCAGACCTCCAGCAAAGTTGCAAAAATTCTACAGATAAGTCCTGTGTACCCTTTACTCATTTTACCACGTGGCACAATCTCGCCCCCTGCCTGTCCCCATGTATAACTTTTTTTTCTGAGACATGAATGTAAGTTGTAAACATTGTGCCCTTTTATCCCTGAAAACTAATGTTATTTCCTAAAAATTACTGTAATGTCCCTAAAAATAGAAACATTCTCTTAGATAACTGCAGCACAGACATCCCGGTGAGGAAGCGTACCGCGATGCTGCTCTCTCATCTCAGTGTCCCGTTCCGCATTTCCCATGCCCGAGTGTCCTTAGGGCAGAGGACAAATAAAATCTGGTCCTGGAGCCTTGAGCACCTGTGTTGTGTCGCGTTAGTTTCCTTTGATCTGAAGCATTGTCAGCCTCTTTGTCTGTCTGAGCCGTGGCGTTTTGAGTACAGGCCAGGTGTTTCATAGAATGTGTCTGATGGGGGTTTGCCCAGCGGTTCCCAGGATTGGGTGCAGGTCGTGGAGTGATGCAGGGGACTGACAAGTGTCCTTATGAATTGAATTTTGGTGGCTTTTTGTCCTGCTCTGCTGCTGGAGTCTGCAGAGCCCTCCATCTTAAAGTTACTGCTCCCCAGATTGCAAGCGAGACCCTAAGGTGTTGCAGGTACCGCCCATCAAATCCCACCGGGCTTCAGCATCTGCCGTGACCCACGCCCAGCTCATACTGCACGGTGGGTGCCAAATGGTGGTTTTCCAACTCCATCATTTCCTCCTGATATTTCAGTTTCTGCTGTAAGGAGGTGCTTCACTTTCGTGTCCATCCACACAGTTATCTGTCCATTTACTCTTAAAGAAAAAAAAAACTTTTAGGCCGGGCGTGGTGGCTCAAGCCTGTAATCTCAGCACTTTGGGAGGCCGAGACGGGCGGATCACGAGGTCAGGAGGTTGAGACCAGCCTGGGTAACACGGTGAAACCCCGTCTCTACTAAAAAAATATAAAAAAAAGTAGCCGGGCGAGGTGGCGGGCGCCTGTAGTCCCAGGTACTCGGGAGGCTGAGGCAGGAGAATGGTGTAAACCTGGGAGGCGGAGCTTGCAGTGAGCTGAGATCCGGCCACTGCACTCCAGCTTGGGCAACAGAGCCAGACTCCGTCTCAAAAAAAAAAAAAGAAAAAAAAAACTTTAAAAAAAAATAGAGATGGGGGTCTTGCTGTGTTGCCCAGGCTGGTCTTGAACTCTTGGGCTCAGGCAATCCTTCTGCCTTGGCCTCCCAAAGTGCTAGGATTACAGGCGTGAGCCATCACCCCCGGCCTATTTATTTTTAAGTACTGACTTGTGGACTCTTATTTGAGTCTCTGAACTATAATCCATTCCTATCCTTATTTATTTTGCTGCTCAAATTGTTCTAAGTTTGTCCAGTGGGGTCCCCCTAGGCTGGTTCTGAGTCCTGGGGCGACGCCCACCTCTTCATGAAGACCTTCCCAATTCACTGGATGGTCTGCTTACCTGCCTTGTCCCTTCGCAGTGCCGGAATCGGCTTTCTCCAGGGACCCCTGGTTCTTTTCATTGGAAGTTAGAAAACAAAATCAGTCGTTATCTGCTGCCCTCCCCGTCAACTGTTTTGCTATTTGACTTAATTTTATTTGTTTGAAACAGTTAAACTTGTTGTTTTGCAAAACTATGGAGTAATGCTCACGTATGTTAGGACATACAAGTAATGTCTGAAGTGTTGTTAAAGTGTCGAGATTTTCTTTTCCTATTTTAGCTTTATTATATCATCATCTTTTAAAAAGAGCTTTCTAAAAACGAAGTACCCAGTGTGTTTAGCAGGCCCCAGTTTACCCTTCCACAGCCCTCTTCCTCCACCACCCCTTCCTTATCCGTAACCTGGAAGTGGGTGGTCCATCAGCAAGTTAGCCGAGGACAGTGTGTAAAACAGCCTCGAGCCATGGAGAAGTGCTCGGCAGTTAGCTGCCTGCTTTGATCCAGTGGTCAAGATACTCAGCCTCAGCTGCTTCCCTGCGTTGTCACCCCAGGGCTTCCGGAGTGGGCATGAAGGTACAGTTTCTGTGCTAGAACGTGCTTCCTAGAGAGGAGCATGGCACGCGCAGCTGCCTTGTCTTGTGGTGGCCGTCAGTGCACCTTTCTACATTGCTGGGAAGACAGGAGTGCGGATGGAGGAGTCCCCTGTCAAGTGTCCGGGGGCCGGGGGTGCAGAGTCCACTTATCGGGATGGCAGAGAGAGACAAAGGCCTTTTACAACAGTGTCCATACAGATCAGGAATCTGGGTAGGTTCTGTCCTGTTGTCACAGGATCCCTTGAGTGTCACTTTGCCAGCCGTAAACCTCTGTGGCCAGCGGCGCCTCTGCTTGAGTTCCACTCGCACCTGCTGGGCTCATTCTGCCCACTCGGCCCAGCAGGCTGTACTCGGCTCATGCTACCGGCCCAGGTGCCACACCTTCTGAGGGCAAGCCGGGAGTGGAGCAGCGAGGTGTGTGTTGGTGAGCAAGCGTGGCGTGGGGCCACTGTGCACAGCCAGGCTCGCTTGGCTGCTGTGGCGGGGCGGGCGGCTCCAGGCGCTGGCTCCGTGCAGAGCTTTGGCTGGATGAGGCGTATCGCAAGCGGTTCATGCTGCAGGCGCTGGCATCCGGATGAGGGGAACACGGTGCCGCCCCAAAACTTGGAGTCACCAGCAACTGCGGAGCCCCAAGGGGATGGGCTGGGAGAGTGTTCTGTGGCTCTGTCGCTCTCGCCACCCACAGTACCGGCTGGGGTGCGTTTTCAGCTCGTCCAGCTCTGCCGCTTTGGCCCTGGCCTGCAGCTCCCAGGAGCGCCTGGCTGCACCGCTGCTTGCCACCACACAAGCGGAGGGCAGGAGGGCTGTAGTGTTACCGCTCTGGCTTGAGGAATCCCAAGGTTTGGGTCCCCAGAGGGATCGCCGCTCTTCACTCCCGGTTCCGCGAACGAGCCGGCCAGGAACATGCTACGGCCCTTTCTGCACCCGCTGTTGGGTGGGGCCTGAGTTCTTGTCCTGTGTCCGTGGACACCTGGAGGGGGAGCAAGGTGGAGAAGAGTTTTATTGAGCAACAGAACCGCGCTCAGCGGAGAGGAGCCCCACAGTCAGTAGCTGCTAGCGGCAGGCGGGCGGGCCTGCTGTGTGACCGCTCCGGGGTCTGTGTGGGCCCGGAATGGAGGAAGTGCCTGCTCCTTGGCCCAGGCCTGGGCCTGGAAAAGACACCATCTGATTGGCTAAAAGGCCTGCCCGGAATGGAGGAAGTGCCTGCTCATTGGCCCAGGCGTGGGAAAGACACCATCTGATTGGCTAAAAGGCCTCAAGGACGTTCTCACTCCGGGTTGTGGATTCTGTCGGGAACTGGCAGCGCAGTCCCAGTCTCCAGGCTTCAGGCTGCCTTTGGCTTGAAGGTCGGGTTTCACCGGGGACCTGCTCCCGTCTGTCTCAGAATCCGTCTGCCGTTACCACTTTTATTTCTTCACCTCTCACTCCATTGCCTGCCATTCCTTGTTGCCTCCCTGTGGGAGGGGTGTTGGAGCCAGGTTATCAAAGAAAGGCTGAGATTCCTGTCATGTCTTTCTGTTAATTTTTAATTCCTGTGGTGATGATCACGGACGGTTCTGCGCTCTCCCTCCTGCTGCCCCGTTAAGTTTACCACAGGCAGGAAAGAAGAGCAGAGTCACATGTCGGTTTCAACGTGCGTTGTACCGCTGACGCCGTAGCAGAGCCCGTGCGTGTAGCTCCTGCCCGTGGGCAGCCGTAATTCTTAGTTTTGGATGGAGGGTGACTGGGACTCTGTCCGAGCTGTTCTGCACCCTCCACTCTGCAGTATCGGAAATGAAAGATGTGTGCTGTGCAAGAAGGTTGGGAGCATGCGTTTGTGTGACAGCCCCCGGCTGGGGATGGGATCTCAGGCACCCAGCGTTGTTTT